GGGTTTAAGAAGTTTGTCTTTTCCAGTGGTTCTGTGATCATCTGCTTTAACTGTGATGGTAAAGGACCGTTTTTCTTTTTACATTTCCCACCATTGCTGATTGAGGCTGTTGAAAACACACTGAATTCCAAAAGGAAGAAACAAACAGATAAACAACAAATAGGGAAATGTGAAAACGAAAAAACAAAAAAGAAGGATGGGGGGAGGGGGAAAGCCAAGTCCATTTCCAAAGATTATTGTTGGACCGAATAGACACTGTCCCATTGCAATGAATCATCCCAAAGGCATTGGATTCTCCACACTGGGCTCCACACACAGTCTGCCACTGTCCCCATTTGCAGGCCATTGTCCGGACTATCCTCTGCCAAATGGCCACCATCCTCAGGAGTCTTGTCGGACCCGCTCACCAAAGATTGTCACAGCTGGGCTTAGGGACTACTGAGTTTCCTCTTGGAAGGAAGCATGGTGGTGTGTGTGTGTGTGTGTGTGTGTGTGTGTGTGTGTGTGTGTGTGTGTCCCCTCATCCCGAGACCTTGACCTGAGTATCCAGCCATCCCCCCAAATCAATTGTATCAATTCTGCTCTAGTTTCAGGTGGTCCCAGGGCCTTTGAGAGGGGACTAGATTATAAAGGTGGGGAAGGATGGAGGCCTCCATTCACACACCCATCATCTCTGCTGATGCAGGCCGTCCAGTGTGGATACTTCAGGGTCACCTGTGCTTCTGCCCATAACCCCTCATCAGCTGCTTCCTAACTAAGCCCAATAAACTCATTTATTCCCTGCTGGTGTGGAGGGACTTTGCTTAACTGTACCTTGGTTTGTAGTGGGGGCAGTAGATATTGTTTACATCTCCCCAAGGGAAAGAATATTAGCAAAACAGACCCATACTGACTGCGGACTATTTGAACAGCATTGAGCAAGCCTACTCACTTCTCTCATAGGAAAGGTCATTCATCCACTAGATAAACATTCATTCATTGTCTGTTATAAGCCAAGCACTCAGGTGGTCCTGTTGCCAGAGTGGTTAAGGTCAGAGCATGGGCCCTGGTAGCTCAGCTGCCATTTTTTCACAGGCCAATTATAGAGACAAGTACTAGTGAAAAGTAGAGAAGGAAGATTTCAATGTAGCCACATTGCTTAGAAGAACAAATGATGATGTCCTGTGACCCTCTAAGTCCATCTTCAGGGTCCTGACCTGAGGTTGAAATAGACAACGAGAGCTATTGAGACAAGAAAACATAGGGAATAGCTTATCGCATGGAACTCTGCTTGGTTTGGGCTCTACATACACCCCTCTTCTAAAAGTGCACTTGGCAACCTAGGACCCTCATCTACATGTACTATGCACATACACCTCTCACTGAACAAGGTACCTAGCAGCTTGTTAGCAACCTAGGACCCCCACCTGTACTGAGCTGCATCCACACCTCTCTCTGAACAATGGAATGATTTCCCCTTCCATTAATAATTATGAAGCCTGGACAGACTCTATTCACTATATTTGATTATATCTGGATATAAGAGTAGTGTGGTGGTTAGAATGACTATGACCCTCATAGACTCATATGGTGAGGTTTAGTTGGTGGAACTATTGGGGAAGGATTAGGAGGTGTGGCTTATTGGAGGACGTGTGTCACTGGAGGTGGGCTCTGAAGTTTCAAAAGACCATACACCATCTCAGTTAGTGTTCCCTCCCTCCCTCCCTCTCCATCCTCCTCCTCTCTCTCTCTCTCTGCCTCATTGTCATTGTAGTCTCAACATGTAAGGTCTCATGAGCTCTCAGATACTGCTCCAGAACCAAGCCTACCTGCCTACTGGCATGTTCCTCACCGTGACGGTCATAAACTCTACCACCCTCTGGAACTGTGAGCCCCAGTTAAATGTTTTCTTCTATAGGTTGTCTTGGTCATGGTGACTCTCCACAGCAACAGAAAAGTATCTAAGACAGTGGGAAGGCTGATCTAGCCTGAAATGGTTTTGGGTACATGTGCAATAAAACAGTATCCTCCAAGTGAACTTTTAAGGAGAATCCTCTATTTACCATCTTATGCCTATGCATAACTGGGCATGCAAATAATTAAAATGGGATAAGTATGGGAAGGGGCATTCACAGTAGAGAAATGGTTATATAACTTATCCCATCAATCAAAGTAGAGAACCACCCAAACCACATCCCTAGTAACCAAACTCCTCCTTCCCTTTACCCCTAAAAAGGTGCCCCTGGGCAATAACCTGGAGTCCCTGACCATCTTCACTCACTGTCAATCTTGACAATGTATTTTTTCCTAATCTCTACTATAGCTTCTCTTTGAATGAGCTTTCTCTGCTGCTTTGCAACCTCTGTGTGCCTGTATTTCACTCCTGATAAGAGGCTGAGGACCTGGAAACACTGGCCGGGACCACCGGGGTCAGGGAGACAGCGGAAGCGGTGGTGGTCAAGGTATGGTCTTGCCATAGTTGATGCATCACTGCTCCCACCCCTTCAAGGTTGTCAGGCTGTGTGAACGCTCTTGCCAAGAGACAAGCTCTCCCTCTGACCAGCACCAGGACCCCAGTCTTCTCCATCCCTAGCATGGGACTCTGGAGAGAGGGGGGAATTCCTTGGGGGTCCATTGCTTCCATAGTCTGAGAGCCAAAGGGAGGGACACAGATGTCCTCTTAGAAGATCTTTGCTCCGGCCACAGGCAGGTTATAGTCCTGACTTTCTGTGCCTTGAGGGGTTGTTGTGACATCATGTTATGTTTTGTGATTACATAATGAAATAGCAATAGCTGTATAACTCATTAATCAAATGTGATAGTCACTGTAATAGCATTGATAAGAAAAATTGTCCCTGTGTGAGTCTGGGAGATCTCCTGTAATGGAATTAATAACCTCCTTCTGGGAAGAAAACCAGTGCTCCTGATGAAATGCCTAGCTGTTTTCAGACAGAGCACAGTGGAGGAGGCCTGGTTCTGGGAAGTCAATCATACCAGGCAGACGGTGAGACTGCATTCTATTTGAACTTTGAACCCTTTCTTTCTGTGTGTGGCTGCCTGACCTTCCTTTCTCTTACAATATGTTCTTGCCAAGTGTAAACCTTCGGAATGGATTCCCAGAGGCCCTTCCCCTGGAGGGCGGCTGCCACACAGTGACGGGCACAGGAAAGGAGGGGGAAGCTCATTTTGATGGGATGGTGGGGTGAGTGAGCCAGGGACCCTCAGAAAGCTTTGTAACATCCATGACTCAGTTTCCCCACCCATGCAAAGCAGACAATAAAACCTTGGTATCGCTGCCTAGGGGACTGGGGACAAGCCTCCAGGAGTGCAGGGCTTGAAAGGAACCCACAGGGTACTACAGTGCGTACTATGACTTTTTCATCGGAGGGGGTTGAGGGAAAAAAGATGCTCACTCTCTCTCTGAAGATTTCCTCCTTGATCCTTCTCTATTCTCCGTTCTGTGTTCTATATCCTCTCTTCTTCTCTCCATCCAGGAGTGTCCCTTCTGTCTCTCCTAACTCTCTCATTCTTGATGTTTTCCTTCTAACTCATTTAAACTCTCTCTTTATTATTTCCCTTACAGCTTATATACCCCAGCAACATCTTTTAGGCAATATAAAAATTACAATGTGGTTACATTCTGTTTTTCAAGTGAATGATGACAATGAATACAAGTGAAAGACAGCACGTTTTCCATATACCTTACATGATTAAACATTTTACCTATTACAGGTGAAAAACAAATTATCTCAAGAACCCACAGATATTCATACCCAAGCAACTTGTTAAAGAGTAACTATGTGTAAGCAAGCAAGAGATTCTTCTACTGGCGGGATGTGTTTTGCAGTTACCAATCACTTTATTACTTATCTTGAAAGGTGATCTTGTAAGAAATCTTAAAGGAATCACAAATCTAAACTTTTATATATGAAAAAGAATCAGTCAGCTCTATTTTAAATCTTTAGAGTCCATACCTACTCATTAACACTTTTTTTTTATATCAGGAGATTGAGGGCAAAAATGAATACAAGGAATTAATCATCACCTTTGGTCATCAACCAATCCTAGCAAGAAAGGCACGTCAGCTAATGATAATTGGGCTGCTTTGTTCTTGTTCCCTGAGCTTAATGAATTCCTCACTCAACTATGTGCCTCTCTAAAACTTTAGATTGTCTTCTTGGGTTTGTCACCTCAAAGCTCTTTGACAAAAACATTTTAGTCTAACTTTAAGTTATTTTCCAAGCTTTGTTTCAGCTATGATGCACTCTGAAACCTGTGAACACATCCCCCAACATTAAGGTTAAAAGAATTTAAGCTAGCTGGGCTACTGGGACTCAATTGTTTTTCTTAATTATTAAACTAAGCCACAGTCTATATGGCTCCTCAATAGAAACTCATGTGTCTAGCTATGTGACACCTCCTTGTTTTATTTTTTTTATCATCAACACTCTATTTAAACTAACATTATTATTATCAATTAGACAGTACAGTTTAGGAAGAAATCATCTTCATAATAATCTGCAGGTAAAAATCACAGTAGGACAGGACATTTCCATGAGATAAACACACTACATTACAGGCAGTGGGGATCTCCCCACACCCATTCACACCATGCCAGATACCAGAGAAAGATGGCAGCAGCAGACATGTAAAGGCCCAGCAGAAGCAAAAGACACTCTGGAGTCTGTGGTCTCTGGGGTCTTGACTATCCAAGATTCACCCATCAGGGATTCACCTCCTAGTGGGTTGACATCCTGAAGTCAAATGTCATCTGATGCTCCCCTGACATGGGCACTGGCACCTTGGGAAACATCAGGCATGGAGGCACATGTCTTGAATCCAAGTACTTGGGAGGCAGGAGCAGGTAGATCTCTGTGAGTACAAGACCAGTCCGGTGTATGTAGTGAGTTCCAGGCCAGCCAGGGTTACGCAGTGAGACTCTGTCTAAAACAAAACAAAACAAAACAAAACAAAACAAAACAAAACAAAACAAAACAAAACAAAACAAAACAAAACAAAACACAACCCCCCCCCCCAAAACCCAAACCCCAATAACAGCAACCCAAATCCAAAAACCATACAGGAAGCTGCTGTGAGAATTAAACGTTGGATGAGTAGAAAGGGCTTGGCACTGTGCCCGGTGCCCATTACCGCACCATGGATGGTCACTATGACAACAGGATGACGAAGAGCACCTGGACTCCGGAGCTGTCAAACACGGTCCTCTCAGAACCTGCCACTCTTAGTGTGTTGACCGGTTAAGCAAAAGGTTCTTGGAAAACAGCAGGTGCATGAGCACAGCTCTTCCCTGCATGCTGTTTCTAAAGGCTGGGCATGAAGTTCCCGGATGGAGGCGTTGAGAAGGAAGGACCAAGGGCGTGAGTGCTGTGTGGGTTTTGTTTCCTTCTTATTTTCCCTCTCACACAAGCAGTTTCCTCACAGCTTACCATTAGGTTGTTTTCTAACCCAGTTCAGTGGATACATGACGAATGCTAGCTGCTAACACCGGTGCCGTATGCTAATGAGGACTCCTGGGCCACATAAACTTGCAATAAATGCATTTGTATGCTTCCCTCCCCCTCCCCTCCCCCCCGCCCCCAGGTTACTTAGTTCCAGGGCTCAGCTGGGACCCTAAGGGGATGGAATTGGAGGTAGCACCCTGCATTTCCTTGTCCAGGAGAGTCCCGAAACCCTAGGCTGGCAGTTCGCTTCCCCTTAAGTCTACTCTCAGGCAGGCCAGCAGGAGGAGCATCCTGTGGTGGGGTAGGAGGTAAGGACATCTATAGCTTCAGATGCTCATTCCATGGGGTAATGATGGGGCTCCCCACACCCCCCCAGCTCCAGGCTTGCCGAGGAGATAGCACTCACATTTGTACAGCTTTCAAAGCCCCTGCTCGGGACTGATTTGTGGAGGGACACCTGACTCAGAGACTAGACCACAGGAGGTATGTGTTCTAGAGGTCCTCCAAGCCCTACCCCCCACAACCCCCAACGCTGCGGAGAAGGCAGAGCCCACCAGTGGTTTGGACTCTGCAACTGTGACTCAGGTCCATTTCTGGGCTGTCCTTTGAGGCTGGGGTTGAAGGGGGAGGGAGGCAGCTACACCACTCTGCCGGAGGGAGGAATGTGTCTCTTCTTTTTGCTAGAAGCACACTTGTCACGCAGAGTCAGTGTGTTGAGCCTCTCAGGAAGGCTTGAAGGGAGGGGGTGCAGGAGGGGGTGTGTTTCTCAGCTGTGTGCCCCCCCCCCCCGTCCCCGTGTGAAAGGAATGTGAAGGGAGAAGAGGAGGAGAAGGAGGGGGAGGGGGAGGAGGAGGCATCAGGCCTGCAGTAGAGCATTGCTAGCCTGCGGGGTCCCTTCGTGAGAATTAGAAAATGTCACCCGCTCTGGTGTCTTGGCCAGTGGAAACCCACAGAGCTCGGCGGCGAGCTGAGCATGGGCAGGGTTCAGTGAGGAGCCTGCAGAGCTGTGAGCAGCGGTTCCTGACGACGGGTTCCCAAAGGCTGTGGAAGACAGGGCCATAATGGAGGAACTAAGACCAGCGAAGGGGGGACATCCCCTCTCGGCTATGCCTGCAGTGCCCAGTGGACGCGAAGCGAAGGTAGAGGTAACTCCAGGAAGCGTCGTTGCTAGGCAACTGCTCTTGCGCTGTGCCTTCTTCCCTGAAGTGCGGCTGAACCTGGGTGACATCTCATCTCCCTCTTTCCTTTCTCACTCAAACTGTTATTTCCTGTTTTGGTGACTTCTGGAAGAGAAAGAGGCTTCCTAGACTCCAGAGGGAACATCTGCCTTCATCCTTTCTGCTGCCTACATCAGGCGAGCGCTCTGGTACCCAATGCTGCTGAAAGCATCTCTCCCATTCTTACAAATGACGTCTCTTGCAGATAGAAGCAGACGGGGTAAGAGAACCAGAGCACAGAATATATATATATAATATATATATATATATATATATATATATATATTTGCTTTAATTCATCCCCCCCCCTCCATGGAGAGTTTTATCTAAAGCTCTCATTGAATTCTTGAGAGTCCATGACCCCAGCATTTTAAAAACTCCTCCTGAGAAGGGTTCATGAAATCCCCTAAGAAGGGGGCAAAGAAAGTTCAGGAAGGTCTTATTCAATCTATTGCATCCCAATGGCTCAGTTTGGGCAGGTTACCTAACTTCTTTTAAACCATGGGCACGATCGTTGTTGCTTATTTTTTGCCTGCCTCAGGGATTTCCTTGGAACCACACTACCCTATTGCCAATTAGCAGGCATGCCATTCTTCAGCTCTGTCCCTCCAAGGATCCTGCCTGTGCCACCAGAGTCGTAATCCTAAGGTGGGTCCCCACCATGTCTCCACCCCTTCCAAGCGGCTTTCTTACTGGGACTGAATTCCCCATCTACTTCTGTGTGACTTTATCTCTTGTCAGCCACTCCTTCAGGCCAGCCTGCCTAATCCAGGCGCTGTCCAGCTATACCATGGCCACCTCCTTCCAGGCTATCACTCATAATGTTCCCATCACTCTTTCTCCTTGGCTTTCCAGATCCTTTTTATCATGGGAGGCTATCTCTGATCAGCAGGAACCCTTCCTCTGTGGCTAAGAGTACCCTACTCCCTCCACAACAGACCCATCATTGTATACTCAAGGTCTTGTCCTCTTGGTCCATCTTTCCCACTGGTATGTGAGTTTCATCAGGACCAGGGTCTGTCTCTCCCACTGGTATGTATAGAATGAATTGCTAGACGGTCTTATTAATAAAAACCCGGAGCCAGATATTGGGGTGAAAAACTGAGAGATCAGAGGAATAGGATAAGCCACAGACAACCTCACCTCACTGACACCTCAGTCTCCAAAGAGACCTATTTCCTGTCTACCCATACCTATCTACCTTTCTGTTCTGCCATCTCATTTCCTCTCTCTGCCCAGCTACATCACTTCCTCTTCCTGCCCAGCTCTATCACTTCCTGTCTGTCTGTACAGACCTCCAGACCTTTATGATTGGTACTGGGATTAAAGGTACAGTACCACCATGCCTGGCTCTGTTCTCAGTGTGGCCTTGAACTCACAGAGATCCAGATGGATCTCTGCCTCCCAAGTGATGGGATTAAAGGCAGGTGCTACCTGACCTCTATGTTTACTATCATGGCTGGCTCTTTCCTCTGATCCTCAGATAAACTTTATTAGGGTGCACAATATTGGGGGACATAATACATCACCACAGGTATGTGACTTTCATCAGGACGAGGGTCCATCTCTCCCACTGGTATGTGAGTTTCATTAGGGTCAGGGCTGGGTCTTGTTCCCTGGTAAACACCCAGTATTTTCAATGGTGTCTAGAACAAAGCCCAGAGAGTCCTTCAGTGTGGGATTCCGAATATTCAAAACTATTCAGAAAACAACGTATTGCTTCTGTGTTGAATGTATGCAAGCTTTTTTTCTGTCATCCCTTAAACTATACAGTATAACAATGGTTTACAATGCATACATATTTTATGGGGCATTATAAGTAATCTTGAGAGGATTTAAAGTATATGGGGGATACATATACATACATATACACACACCTATACTACACACACACACACAAATATATACATATACTCATGCATATGCATAGGTTACATGCAAATACAGAGCCATCTTTTATAGCTTGAGGAATCTCATACTCTAGAAGTCAATCCTCCATAAATATCAAAGGGCAACTGTGTGTGCTTGAAGCTTTCTCTGGCAATTATAGTGCATTTTGATTCTGTATTTCCCAAATTTTCATTTGACTTATTGTTTCTGTCTCTTTCTAAACATGAATTCTCAGAGCTCTGTCCCGACTCCAGAGCTGTGATGATCTGAGTTCCCCCTTCCCCTGAGATCTCCATGTGAGTCTGGAAACTCAGTTTACCATTCTTAAACTTCTTGGGGTTGAGACTCCTTTATACTCTTAACAATTATTGAGGGGCTAGAAAGATGGCTCAGCAGTTAAGAGCGCTGGCTGCTTGTCCAGAGGACCTGGGTTCGATTCCCAGAACCGTTATGACAGCCTGGAACTGTCTGTAAATTTTAGTTCCAGGGGATTCTTGACCTCTTCTGGGCACCCAGAAGATGTGGTATATTGCTATACATCAGGCAAAACACCCATACACGTGATAAAAACAATAAAAAAATTAAAAAAACATTGTTGAGGAAAGCTGTTTCTTTCCTCTTGCAGGACTGTGTGCATCTCTGTGGAGACTGGAGGAGCAGCTTTCGGCCAGCTCTGCTGACGTCTTGGCCACAGCCGCCTTCAGTGTGAACAAGGGACCCTCCCTGCCTCTGCTGTGATGAGACTTAAGTGTGGTTGGGCTGAGAATCTTGTTGCAGAGCTCTGAGAAGCGGGCAGCCTAGCACGCAGACTGAGCTTGTTAATATCCAACAGTGCGGTTCCTGGAGACATGGAGACAGCGGGGAGGAAGAAAGGGACAGAGCTAGCTAGGAAAGGCCTGCAGGGATGGGGAGGGACTGGCCCTCCACGAGGCCTCACCATCACTTGGAGTCCCAGTCATTGTGTCTTCATTTACAGAAGAGGTGACTGGTCTCTAGGACAGTGAAAGTCCCTTCTGGTGATGCTGAGCTGGTGCCGATGACTGCCAGCCCCATGCACCTGGAGCAATTAAAAATAACCTCATTATTGTTTTAGGAGAGTGTTTCCAAAGTGAGCTCACTATGGAGCCAGGATAAAACGCAAATGCTGTTGGAAATAGCTGTCCTTTCTCGCCGTTACGGTCCGGGTAACTTCTAGCTTTCCTGGATGGTTGGCAAATGTCCTGATGCTGTGGCACAGGATGGGATCAGGGCCCGTGGAGTGAAGAGAAACACCAGACTTAACCTTCTCAGAAGGAGCAAAGGTTCAGTTCTCTCCTGGAGGTCTCTTAGTCGTGTGGTCAAAGGCAAATTCCCTATTTTCTCAGCCACAAAATGGGAACATTTCTTTCGGATTTTGTGGGGCTTAAGTGAGAAAAATGAGTATCAAGAACGTAGCTGTGGGCCTGGGACAGCTTCTATGGTTTGGACACCACCCGTCGAGTACTAGGAAAGGGCAAACTGAACCAACTAAAATAGGAGTCCATGGCTGCCTGGTGTCCTGGTTTCCCTTCTGTGGCTGTGATAAACACCATGACCAAAAGCAACTTGAGGGGCAAGGGATTGTTTGGTTTACAGGGTCCAGTCCATCACTGGGGAAGCCAACGTGTAGTCAGACTTTCTTTGAGACCGCCAGTTCCCCAGTAATGACACAAAGGTTTATTATTAATTATGAAAGCTGGGCCTTGAGCTTAGGCTTGTTCCCAACTAGCTCTTATAACTTAAATTAACATGTTTCTATTAACCTACATACTGCCACATGGCAATTTACCTCTCTTCCATTCTCTATGTCCGACTCTCTCCATGTCTCGCTGGCATCTCTCGAGTGCCTAGGTTCATCCCAAGTTTTTCCTCTCTCCCCAGAAGTCCCTCCTATTCTTTCCTGCCTAGCTATTGGCTGTTCAGCTTTTTATTAAACCAATTATAATGACACATCTTCACACAGTGTAAACAAATATCCTACAACATCAAGGCAGGAAGCCGAAGGCAGGAGCTGATACAGAAGCCACGGAAAAACACCTGGCTTACTTCTCATGGTTTGCTCAGTCTGCTTTTTTATACCATTCAGGACCACCCGCCTGGGGTGGCACCACCATTAATGGGCTGGGCCCTCCCACATCAATCATTAATCAAGAAAACACCCTACACACTTGCCTCTGGCAATCTGGTGGAGGCATTTTCTATTGAGGTTATTCTTCCCGGCTACTCCACCTTGTACCATGTTGACAAAACCTAACCAGGACAAGTGGAGAATACACCTACCTCATCAATTATGATATCTGTATATGGTAGCCACCTTTGTTAACATAAAAGTACACACATGTTAGTTCTTGTCTCTCTTTTTGTGGAGAAATGCTGTGTAGCATGAATCTTAAAGGGTCTTATTAATAAAAACAAACCTGGACCAGGTATTGGGGTCAATGCTGGAAGATCAGAGAAACAGATCCAGCCACAGCTTCCTCACCTTACCAATTCCTCAGCTGATCCTGTTTCCTCAGACTGGAAGCCTCTGAGTCCTCATTCAGAATAGATCTCAGCTGAACTGCTGCTCAAAAGTCTAAAAGCTTAACCAGCCTAGTTCCTGGTTTTCATGCCTTATATACCTTTCTACTTTCTGCCCTCACTTCTTGGGATTAAAGGCGTGAGTCACCATGCCTGGCAGTTTCCGGTGTGGCTTTAAACTCACAGAGGTCCGGATGGATCTCTGCCTCCCAAGTGATAGGATTAAAGGCGTGTGTGCCACCATTTTCTGGCCTCTATATCTAGTGGCTGTTCTGTTCTCTAACCCCAGATAAGTTTATTAGAGTGCACAATATTTTGGGGAACACAATACCACCACAATGCTGGGTGAAGGAACTTCTCTTACCCAGTGGTAACGTCTAGATGGTCCTCTCATAGAGATGTGCTACAGGTTTAGCAGGCTGGTACCACCCTGCTGTGATGTTCTGGGCAATAGGAGCCAGGGGTGTGGACCCAGGGAGAGCTGGAATTGTGCTGGTCCAGCGGGTTGGCTGAGCACGGTGTCCTCCCATCACTGAAGAGCACTTGGCTAGGACGGGATCTGTTTATTCCCCCTGGCTCACTCTGATCTGCAGCTGGAGATGTTGACATTTTATTCTGTGTATACGTTTATTGTACATATGCATATTTCTTTCAACTTAGCATTATTTTTCAACGTTCCATATGTTTTCCCATGGTGATACCTATTTTGTGGTCGAATATTTCATTGCATTGAATGGACACTATAAACTACATGGTTTGTTTCTGTATTCCAGAGACATCATCACAAAATGTCTATACTTTAACCAGAAGGTATAAATGTTTTGTAATTCTCACTAGAGCTATTGTATACTAAAAAAAAATTGACTTTGTTTTGGTTGTTATGAGTTATTAACATTTTACTAAAATAAAAATCTTGTTTGTTTCTATTTGTTTTTTGAGACAGGGTGCTGGGGATGTCTTTCTGTATGCTGTGAATGTGTTACTCTGATTGATTGATTGATAAATAAAACACTGACTGGCCAGTAACCAGGCAGGAAGTATAGTATAGGTGGGATAAGCAGAGAGGAGAATTCTGGGAAATGGAAGGCTGAGTCAGGAGATGCTGCCAGCCACCACCACCATGAGAAGATGTAAAGATACGATAAGCCACGAGCCACATGGCAATGTATAGATTTATATAAATGGGTTAATTTAAGATGTAAGATCTAGCTAGCAAGAAGCCTGAGCCGTTAGGCCCTACGGTTTTAATTAATATAAGCCTCTGTGTGTTTGTTTGGGTGTGAGGGCCCGAGTGGGACTGCAGAAAACTCCAGCTACAACAGGGTCTCCCTATGTAGCCTTGGCTGGCAGAGAACTTGATATGTAGTCCAGGCTGCCCTCAGACTCCCAGAGGTCCACCTGCCTTTGCCTCCTGAGTGCTGAGATTAAAAGTGTGTGCCACCATGACCATCGGAAATAAGAATCTTCTTTAAAGTTAGTGTTGATCGATAATCCCTTCCTGGAGAGATGCAGGGATTAGGAGGAATTCTCACAGAGGAGCAGGGCTGGGGAGCAATGTTGATGGACATCTGTGTGGCAGGGTGGGTGGGACATAAAAGTTTGGCTAGCAAATGACAGCTGTAGGATTGTAAACAGTGGTGCCCAGGCTTCTGAGTCTATGCACCAAACCATCGTGCCATTCTGTCAAACCTAACTTGGTTCTTAAAGACGTGTGTATTTAAGCCCATTTTGCAGAGAAAATCGAGGCCAAGGAGGATTAAAACAAGAGCTAAATCTAAAGTCTCTACGGGGGAAGTGAGTTAGGGGGTAACTCTCAGAAGGTGGCCTCCCCTTCACTTTGCTGTTTTTCTTAGAGTATACAGTTCTCTCCATCACCGTGGGCATTCAAGCCTCGATTGACAGCATGGTTATTAGGCCGTTTAAATGTACTCTTCATCCAACGCTGAGGAACAAAATTCAAGAATGGTGATTAGTGGCCACTGTCACTCGGCTACTGTGTCTGAGAGACAATACAGAACGCAAGAACAGTGGGGAGTTGCAAAACTTGTGCCTCATCTCAAGTCTTGGCCCGGCTGAGTGTCGCCTGACATGGCCAGGTGTGACAGTGAGCCACGGTTGTGTAACAAATGACTCTGAAACACCCTAGCTTGAAGTGACCATTTATTGTTGTTTATAGCTTATATGGATATGATGTTAATAAGCTATATGGATATGGCGGCTAGTTCTCCCTCTTGGCTGGATGCTCTTACACATGGCTACAAGTTTGGCTTCAGGATGACTTGGCTGAGGTGGGCTGGACTCCTTTGTGTCTTCAGCCTTGGCTGAGACAACTAGAACGACTTCTCTTGGTTTAGCTAAATCTATCTCCCATACATACCCCTGCTCCGTAGTTGCTTGACATCTGCTGGAGGCCTCTCCCCATCAGCAGGCTAGCCCAGCCTTGTTTGTGTAGGGTCTTGGAAGGATTCCCAAAGAGAGAGCCCAGAGCTGACACACTGGCCCCCAACACAAGTCACAAGGCAAGTACAGAGAGAGACACAAGGCAGAGAGACAGACTTTGGTCTGTATGGGTAGAACTGTAGCTAGACACTGCGAAATGTGTGGACAGGCAGAGGTGTGAAGAACTGAGCCCCAGGAGACATACACACAGCTCTTATGGAAACCTCTTGAGTGATAAATGTTGCCAGTTTATTTAGAAACTTTCAAAAAAAAATACTTAAACCACCTATTCATCCATCCATCCATCCATCCATCCATCATCCATCCATCCATCCATCCATCCATCCATCCATCCATCCATCCATCCATCCATCCATCCATCCATCTATCTATCTATCTATCTATCTAT